TCTATCTATCTATCTATCTATCTATCTATCTATCTATCTATCTATCTATCTATCTATCTATCTATCTATCTATCTATCTATCTATCTATCTATCTATCTATCTATCTATCTATCTATCTATCTATCTATCTATCTATCTATCTATCTATCTATCTATCTATCTATCTATCTATCTATCTATCTATCTATCTATCTATCTATCTATCTATCTATCTATCTATCTATCTATCTATCTATCTATCTATCTATCTATCTATCTATCTATCCTTCGCGATATCCATAATAACTAAGCCAAACATTGTCTAGCTGAAATGTTCACAAACCAATCAATTAATTAATAATATATTATATAATAATATATAAATATATAATATATATATTATATATATATATATATTATTATTAATTATATATATATAATTAATAATAATATATAATAATTAATTAATATAATATTAATTAATATATTAATTAATTAATTAATATAAATATTATTGAATAAAAATATTTGTTGTTAATTTTAAATTTATGTTTGTGTTGCAATGGAAATGTGAATGTGAAATGAAAAATAAAAAATCCGTTATTCTTTATTGAATTTCACTTTTTAATACATTGATTGCAATAAATAATTTTAAAAAAATCATTTTTCTGAGCAAAAAAACCTCACACACTATTCTCATATTGCCCAAACATATTGTTGTTAGCTTATATCCGATGCAATACTATCATAAAATATTTAATAGCTAATGGAATAACAATGAAGATGACAATGACGAAGAAGATGATAATGTGATAATGTTGATGACGATTATGGTGATAAAGATGACGACGACGATGATGATGGTGATGATGATGACAATGATGATGATGGTGATAATGATTATAAAAATATTTGAAGATGATGATGATGACTACAATGATTACGAAGATGGTGATGTTGTGTGGTGAAAATGACGATGTGAATGATGATGGTGACGACGACAACGACGACGACGATGATGATGATGATGATAGTAAAAGTGACGATAAAACATTCATCAAAAAATGAAAATAATTATAATATAATAATAATATATCCACTAAACAATAATAATAATATAAATATTAACAACAATAATAATAATAATTTATTTAGCGCTTAATATTAACCTGAATTAACAGTCCTACAGTATAGCATCTCTCGACTAACAATTTTTTTTAAGTTATTGAAAATTGAAAAAATATTAATAACAACAACAACAACAATTATTATTATTATTATTATTATTATTATTATTATTATTATTATTATTATTATTATTATTATTATTATTATCGACGTTGTTGTTATTACTACTCCTTATATTAATATAATTATCACAACGTGATAATCAAAAATAATTAAATAAACAAATAAATTGAAAGAACAAACATCTAGTCACCTGTAGAACAGGTAGTTGGTGGGTACGTGCGTGCGTGCGCGCCATACATTCGAGATACAACGCAAAGAAATAAGTTTGCTTGCACGGTGTCAATAAAAAATAATAATAATTAAAAAATAATAATAAAATAATAATATAATAATAAGAATAACAATTAAAATAATAAGAATAGTCATATTTATATTGATGAGCCGCCATTTATTGATTACAGATGTGCACTTCTTCTCTCAATATGTTATTTACGCTGTATGAAAATTATAGATGACAGGTGATGACGGAGGCGATCAGCATCATCGTCATCGTTATAACTTTGGTGATGATAAATAACAATGCTAATATTACCAAAGACGAATAACTATAATAATCAAAATTATTATTAATGATAGTTAATAAAAATAATTATAGATAACAACAGTATTGAAAATGCTAACATGAATGATGAATTAAATAAAATTGTACACTTAATGACCAACAGGGCTAGATTTACACGCGGAAAAATCCCGGAACAAAGAAAAAGTAAAAACCCATAGTCATTTAGTGGGAGTCAGTAATTATTTGTGAAAGTACCTTATCCGTAAAACCTAAAACATTTTAGAAGCCAATAATTTGTCTAATTTTTTGTATCAATCTGCTTGTTTAAAAAATTTTGAGACTTTATTTCATTGCTTGGTGCATAGGTGGGCAAGCTTTTTGCTGTGAGGGCAGCATTGAGAACTATTTTACCTCTTAAAGGTCACATATGTACTTAAATAGCAAACCTTTTCGATCCGGGGGAAAATTTTTAAGATTTGCGGCTTCTTATTTTTGGTTATAATGTCTGGTTGACCACATTTTTTGGCAAACAAGGCCTCGCGGGCCGCAGAAAATAGCTTGGCGGGCCGCATGCGTAGTATGCCCACCCCTGCTTTAGTATCTAATTTTTCAACAATTTTTCATCCAAGCCGGTGTTTGAAAATATTTGACGGCAAAAAAAGTCCATCACCAGAGGAGGAGAATTTTCAACTTTTAATGAACAACAATAAAAATTAATAATAATATCATTAGTTGTAATAATAATATTAATTATAATAAGTAACAACAATTATAACATTCTAAGTGCAAAATAGTAATGATAATAACAAAAGCAACTCAATAGTAACAATTTAATAATAATGATAATAAGAACGACAATGATAAAATCAATAATGAATGAAAATAAATAATAATAAAATAATGAAATAATAATAAAATAATAACAAGTTATTTTCGTAAAAATCGTTTGAAATGTGAGGTCAAATAACTGATGAGCAATTCATATCGGATGATTAATTAAGGCAATGAGCAACACAATTTTTAAAATTTACCGAAATAATTTTTTTTTAAGTTATCCAAGGTCAAAGTTCAAGTCACTGAATATAATCACTATTCCAACATACAAAAAATTATATGAAGTTGTAAACTTTGTATAGAATTGTATAAACTTTGTACAAACTTTGTATGAATCTGTACAGGATTTGTATGAAATGATTAAAGAGAGAAATGTTCATTCGAATTGGCATACAGTTTTGTTAATCAACATTCAACTACTCAATAATATAATATTCAGTATTTTAAATCTTCAGTATGCTAACGCGTAGAAAAGTAGAATTACAAAAAGTGATATAAATATTTCAAACTATCTATTCTGTTTCAACCATTAAATAAGTTGAAAATAAAAGTTTCTGATAAAAAATACATTCATTTGTACTTATTTTACCGACTGAATATTCTAAATTCTATTTTGCTATTGTTAAAAGTATGACAAAAAAATTTAATTAAAAAAATAATAATGTCAGGAATAAAATATCCACATCTCAAACTGAACAAAAACCCCTTGTCCCACGTAACGTCTCACAGGTCGTATATTGTTGAGTAGGAGTAGTAGGCCAAATTACACATCCGTCAACACTTGGTTTTTTTATTTGTGTGATTTCGATGAGTTTAAAAGAAAATTTTAAAAAGGAGTTTAGAAACGGGAAGCACATTCGTGGCATTTTGATGTTTAGAAACGCTATCTATCGTTGTAAATAAGATTATCAACATTTTTAAATTGTTGTTTTGTCGGAGATTCAATTCTAAAACGTCATTATAGTATTTAAAAAGAGCTTTTTGAAGTTAATTCATCCTAATTGAATTCCTCTGCTGTTAAATGGCCTCTCTATCAGCTTCCCATGTTCCAGCTACAAACATTCTTGCAGAGTCTAAGAGAAGAGGATGCGTAGGTTTTTTTTTCTAATGATGAGTGACAGGAAATTTTTTGTATTAGTTTTTATCTGACCAGTTTTTAAATGATTTATGACGACAGACGCTATACATTTAATTTTGTAACGTTGCTGGTGCGGTAAAATTTTTTGCGTTTTTCGATATTTTTTGCTGCTGCTGTCCTTGAGTTGTTTGGCGATCGTGATCCGAGAATAAACTTCGACGGAACAGTTTATTTGTTCGAAGGCAAAACAATTTGAAAATTGTTTTTATAGAAAACAAAACTCTGTGGACATTTTTTGTTTTTTTGTGGTTTGAGAGCATCAATACCTATTGAAAATGAAAAAATTTTTAAATCGTTTTCTTAATTACCATCAATGTTTTATTCACTGGCCAGCATGCCGTTTTAAAAATTTCAAACTTATATTAAAGGTAGTGATTAATCAATAACAATACTTTCATATACTTATATCATTGCAACCTATTATTGTTTGTAAATTTGAATTGTAAAAATTTTAAACTTTATCCATCTTATAAACATCATTCAATCAATATTTGACTTTATTTCATCTACGTTCACTGAACTGAACTTTGAAATAGTGACGATGCAACAAAAAACGCTTCGGATAAAAAACGAACGCAGTTGTTTCACGGAACAAAAACCAATTCACTCGGTCGCTAAAAGCTTACATAAACTTTCCAATCAAGCAAATTCAACAATTTAACATTAACCAAAAATATCATATCAGGTTGATTTGTAAATATATTTTTTTATAAAAAATCAGCTCATTAATTTTACGAAATTTTATTAAAAAGTATATTAATTTGTGCTTAGCACAAAAGTTATAAAAAGTTTGTTTATACGAATAAATTGAAGTACTGAAAATTCCAAAAAACTCCAAAATATTAACAACCAACAACTTCATGACCCTAGAACAAATCTCACGTTGAATGGGGAGGGAGTATTGTGATCCCGATAACCTCCTCTGTCACAATTTTGTTGTGGCCCAACGGCGGAAGAATGTGAAATTGTTTGGCGCACATAACACGTGATATGGATCTTTTTAGATTTGAACACTGCCACTGCAACAGCAGGAACAGACATCTTAACCATCACACTATTTCTCCATCCGAGATGATAGTTAAATAATGAAACACACATGAAAAGCAAACATAATTAAATATTTTTATGTTTCTGTTGCATGTCAGAATATTTTGTAATGAGTCGTGCCAGAAATATTTCTATCTTTATTTTTTTGGGCGGCCTGGTGGCTTAGTGGTTAAGGTCGTCTGTTGTTGTTTCGCAGAGCGTGCAGTGACCCGGTTTGAATAGAACCAAAAAAGATCTCCACCAATCACAAACTTCGTGTGTTGCTGATTCCTCTGGAGCTAGAAAAAGTGTAATATAGCTTTTTCACATTTTATACTTTAAACAATTTTTTTTATTTGTTTTGTTATTCATATTATATTAACTGTTCATAAAGTTTTGGTGTTATGCTTTTAGGTGCATTATTTTTGGAATTTGGTAATTTTTCATCAAGGATATTGCTCATCATTTGTGGCAACATCTTATTTTCAGGAAAAACTTGTTTAACAACATTTCCAACTAAATAATCATACAAAAGTGAACACTTATCACTACACCTAAAGACTTATCTTCTTTTTTTCCCTAATCGGATTCATATATTACTAGAAACCTATGCAACACGTTTTTCATCTGAATCAGAAGCTCCACCCACTATTAGCAATTAACAATTATGCATTATACAACCTGGCGGTTAAAGATTTTAAAATCTTAAACGCTGCTCAAATGAATATTTATAACAAGTTTTGGATATTTTCTTAATTTATAAAATTGCAAGATAATGAATTTGAAGTTTAGAAAAATTAACATAAAAAATAAATTAAAATTTTTTAATTATGTACAAATATACAGCAGTCAATTTACAACGATATAATAAATGTAACAGAGCCCAATTTGTTTGCTCCACATTGCAACAACAAAAGGACGTAGCAGGCAGGCAGGTAGGCAGGCAGGCAGGCAGGCAGGCAGGCAGGTAAGTAGGTAGGCCATCACTAACGAAGCAAAGCAACTACTAACGCACACCTCAGCTAAACCGATATCAATCAAATACGTGATATAGTGCGAACGAAAATCATACACACGCAATTAGCACGCACACACGTGCATAAACATCCACATTATTATTTGTCTTTCATAAAAAATATACCAATTCACAGATAATGACACATGAACAAAAACGCTCATGTCAATATCACTCGTTCATGCATACACACAGCTACGAAGAAGATGAAATGCATACAGATACCCACTCACTATCGACGTGTTTATTCAGACTATGTATCCAAAATCCATGAGTACATGAGTAAATACAGACTTTCGTTTCGTACAACTCGCTCAAACATACATAGCGCTGAGATGCACCTAGACAACGCAACAATAGCACATGCATGTGTAAATATACATAGGCACGTAGTTGTGCGCGGTTTTATCTGTGTAGTGTGCGTATGTATGTTTGGTAAGTTTTGCCTAATTGCATAAATATGTTTTTGCCTGATGTTAAAAGTTACCGAAATGGTTAAAAATTGTCAATTCAGAAGTTCGCGATGAATTAATAAGAGAATTGCTCTCCTAATACCTGGCAACCAATCTAACTTCAAACGGAGCTGGATGCACCGTCAGTCCTCCAGGCATTTCTGCAGACACAATTTCTTTCTGACCCTCAGGTGGAAGAATTTTAAACTGGTGAATAAGCGAAGAAGTAAAGAAAAAGAGTTCTTGGCGGGCCATGCTTTCTCCCAAGCACGATCTTTTTCCTGTTTCGAAATTTGTACAATTGAATGCCTCAGTCATCAATTTGAATTATTTTTTTAATTTGTAAATTTTAAAATGCTACTTATTTAAAACGTCGACTACACAGCTCGAATCGAGAGTCACCAACGTTTTTACACAACTTCACCAAACCTAAAGAAAATGGAATGATCCGATCACTGTTGACGATTTGGGTCTTATCCACGCTTAAGAATCTTTCTATTTTGAACGTTTCAGGTTCAGGCCATTCTTCTGGGTCCATATGAACACTGTATATGTTTGGCATTACCTCGAAACAAAAAATAAAGCTAAAAAAAAGAAAACTTTAATTTATTTTCAATTTTCAAAAATTATTTACATTTAAAAAACTAGTTTAATGTATTCAAGTTTTAACTATTTATAATTTTTTAGATTAGATACAAATTAAAAAACAAATGAAATTACCATCACACCGGTCGGAATGAAACATCCATCAACAACGCAATCTCTTAATGTGGAGTGAGGTACAGCCAAAGGGGCCAACGTTTTAATCCTCATCACTTCAAGAATCGCAGCTTCAATGAGAGGTAATTTTTTTCTATCTTCCCAGCTTGGAAATCTTTCGCGTCCGACGACAGTGTCCAGTTCTTTCCATATTTTATCCTGGACCGTTTGATTGTTCGCCATGTTGAGGATCATCCATTGCAGAGTTGTCGCCGTTGTCTCTGTGCCTCCAAAAAATAAATCTCTGATTGTGCTGATCAACTGTTCTTCGTGGTCTATATCGCAGTTATTAGTCTCTGTATTTGAGTTTGATGACATTTTTTTCAATTCACTTTGATACATTGTATAAAAATTTTTTATATTTTTTTCATTCGCTACTCGTTTGAGAATTCTCTTGATGTAGTCTACCCAGCGCTTATCAGCGGCTATAATATTCCTCATAACTTGTTTAAATGTTGGGAGAAATCTTAAAATAGGGAAGAAATTGATGAGAAACGATTTGAAGGAACCCCTGACTAAGCTGTGCATTATGTCGATTCCTTCCAGAAATTCAGGGTCATTTTTGGACCAAGGCTTTCCGAAGATCATGCAGCCGATAACGTTGGAAGCGGCTGCCGTTAATTCAAACTCTGGATTGAAGGGTTGGCCGTTTTTGATCTTCAATCTTTGCACGAGGTCTTCAACTTCATGCGTGATGATACGCTCCATAGACGAATCGCCGAAGCCAAAATTTTTTAAAACATTCACTGAGAGACGACGATGAATTTTAAAATGGTCGTCAAATACGTGTTCGACAATTCCTAAAAAATGTTTTTATTTAAACAAAATTTTAAATTAGTAAAATATAAACAATATAAAATATTGAAATACTTTGGTGATAAAAAAATTTACACAAATTTCTTCGAATGGTTGTCACGCATTGTGCACTATTATTTACAAGATGGCTTTTTCATTCACGAAAACATTTCACTACAAACCTGCTCTTCTTGGGTTGATGATTTTTGTTAGATAGAATATAGTACGGCTTGAAAAGGCAAAAGATTGTTTAACGAAAGCATCTTGTATGGCTTGTTTACCATTTAAAACGACCACATATCTGAAATTATTTGGTAGTCATGAACATAGTTTAATAAATTAATTTTTTAACAAAATTTGACTTTCATTTTATTATCTTTTTAAATTATTTAGCCAAGCCGACATCTACTACGTAAAACATTTTGAAATATCTTAATGGAACATAATTAAAATGTTTTGAAGAAAGAAACAGAAACTGACCTTCTGCACATATAGAATGCAAATACATTTCCAAGTTCCTTGGCTTTCTGCATGAAGTGAACGTGCATGAAGGCGGGATCGCCAACGAAAGGCAGAGATCCGACAATCGGTAGACTCGTCAAACATGGCGGCAGTTTTCTTTCCGGGTTGACGCACCGACAAATATTTTTGAAGAGGACACGCGCCACCAGGAATGATACGAAGGTGAAACCGACTATCACTGTCGTTGTTGGTTGAAAAATTTCCAGTCGGATTGTAGAAAACATCGTCAAATTTTTTATATATTACTTGCTCGTTGCACAGTTCAGTCTGCTAAGACGTTCACAGTACGGTCTTTTTGCGAATCGTTAACGAATTAAACATGCAAACGTTGCACTATTTGAATAATTTATAAGCTTTTGATTTGTAACGGTTAATAATTAGTTTTATTTATCGATTGCTTGGCATTAAATGCTTCTGAATAAAAAGAAAAAATTATTTTGAGATACTTTCGAATGAACATAATAATATTTTGTTGTTCGTGTTCATCATCTGATGTTTCGCCGCAGAAAAAATTTCAATGTCAACAACCGATAAGTTTCACATTCTCTTTTCCTCCTTATATTGAACATACGAGATATGACCGACTGCGTGCATGCATCCTATATGTTCGTGTTTATCATTCACTCTATTATCATAAGACAGAAATTTTTTATTTGTCGAAACAGAATGTGTTCATATAAAAATCGTGAAAGCGAACTGTGTCAAGAAAAAAGTAACACGTACTGCAAAATAACGAGAGAGTTAATGTAAACAAATGCTCAAGACAAAACAATGGGCGTGATTTTGTATTTGGAGTGTCGTTTGCCGAACGAATATTGCGGATGTCTTTCTTTATTCAAAGTCACACATTCAGGCTTGTAAGCGCCTGGCCCGGGACTTTTCTCTTTAACCAGTGGCGCCAATATTTTTCCGATAGAATAACTTGGAGCCCTTCGTAACACACAAGAAGAATTAACTGATTGTATGGCCGGAGTTTTGCAGATGTCTCTCAAGTAGGAGTTGTATGCATCTCTGATACCCATGCTGAATCCTGCACTCCATGGATAATATTTGCTCCCGCACGTAATGCAATACTCGTTCGGTCCCGGTGTTATGTTAATCTTGTCGCACAATCGGTAGCCGAAGGTGTATTTTGGAGACTGCTTCTCGACTAACTGGTAACCGGGATTGAGGTTGTAAGTGTTTGGAGCCGGTACGTCGGATACCTTTTCGATCGGAACGTACTTCGGTATTGTACAGCATTTAAAACAAACATGTTTCGTACAGTCTATCTCGCAAAATGGCTCTGGCGGTTCTGCAAATTTTTCAATTTCAAGAATTAAGTTAGCATTCGTAGTTTGTTTACGTTTATGTCAAAAACAACGTTCTGATAAAATAAATGTAAACAAGTGACGGGACGACTGCATCGCGAGTAATGCGCACTTGATGAAATCAAACATTTAATTGCTGAGTACGATGTATATTTCTATTTAAAATTTTGAAGTTACTTGGTGGGTCGCGAAATCGAACATCTCTAAAGAAACTATACGCTGGCATAACTGTTTTGGTCGGGTCATGGTCTTTGTAACCGGTGCATGATTTGATTGGGTAAGCATTTGGTCCGGGAGCTTTTCAAATAATTAGAATTTATGAACAAGTAGATAGTAATTTCTGAAATAATAACTAAATTTAAAATAGATAAAACATAATTTCTTAGAAACCGGTATAAGATGCATAAACCGGATGAACTTGCTTCATCTTCTGGACATCCTTCGATCGACATATGCTAACCTCAGAGGCTATCTTCGAAAGCGAAATCGAAGATGTGTCCGAGTCTAGACTGCTGATACGGTCTGCGATTAGATAGATATTATTATTAATATTTATTCAAGTATCTATAGTGATCATATTCAATATGATATTGTTCACATGGTATAATATAATGATGGACACAAATTTTAAAACCATACATACATCCTTTTTTTATTTTGCAGTCAGCATCTTTCTTACAAGTAGGCATGTTGTCTATCTAGCAGAGCCACAACTTTATTAAATTAATAATTTTATTTAATTGAAAAAATTTTAATAAATGTTGTGACGAAAACAAAATTTTTGATGATTAATTTAGAATGTATTCACATTTTAAAACCTTAACAAAATTCAATTAAAAACGTCATTCAAAGACTAAAAATTGAAAATGTTTATCAAATGAATTGTTTGCCAATTTTGATTTTAGAGTAATAGATTTTCATTTTTATTCAAATATATATTTTGATATATTATTTATGTATGGATGCATATATATAATAATATACAAACAAAAAAAACAGAATGGATGAAATTAATTGAAAAGATTTTGAGTTAAAATATTAAGTTAAAATTGTTCGTCCATCTCTTTTTTAAAGTTGTGCCGGACTCAATTTTTCGGAATATTTTGTTTACATGGTTTTATGCAGACGCGCTGATTTTAAAAGTTTAAAATAATTTTAATTTTATTTCGTCTTGTTGGCAGTTTCCAACCTTTTAGTTGCTGGTTTGCTTTTTTTTACGTTTTAAAATGTTTATTCTTAAATTCATAAGTTTTTTTCAATAATTTCAATTTTGTTTTTACTTTTTTTTGTGCTTTTGTTTTTGTAATGTAATGTTTTGCTATGTTTTGTTTTGTTTGATTTTGTTTTTGATTGAGTCAACTTTTTCTTTAGTTTAGTAGTTTTTACTATTTGTTTTTTGTATTTTAGTTTTAGAAGACCTTTTGTTTTTGAGTTGTTTGAAATTGAATAAATTTAAAAAGATAAATTATAAGAATGAAATTGAAATTAAAATATAAAATTAATTTTGATTAAATATTTTTAATTTTAAAATTATTAAATTTAAAAAATTGTTTTATGTTTAGGCAAATTATAAACTTTCACAAAATTTTTTAACTGAAAATGTTGAAGTACTTATTTATATTATACTATGTTATATTAATAATAGAATAATAAATAAGTATATAATATATATTAAATTTTATTTCAGATATCAACCTTACACTTTAGACATTGTTCACAAAAATAAATTTTGAAACATTCCCATCAAGTCAATGACTATGCCTGACTCAGTCAACAGTTCTTTGTTGGAATGTGAAACGACGTTCATTAAGATTCCTACTCCATGGAACTTTGAAACTCGTCAGTAAATCATTTCATTTATTTTTACTACTTGCAATTTATATAATCATTATTTAAAGGTTTTTATTTTTAAAAGAAAATTTTCTTTCATCAGTTTATATTACAATTTTGTTTTAAATTAATTTTTTTAAGAATTAAAATTATTATTTTTATTTATGTTGTTAAATATACAGAACCACTGTTAAAGAGGTAATAATTACTCTTTAATTACACTTTATAGGCTTAGAAGTAGATGAATTTGAAGTTGCCAGAATGCTTGAAGGTTTTCTATGTTATTTTTTTCATTTTGCATATTTTTTCAAATAGGTCAATTTTCAAATTATTAAAATAAAATTTTAAAATTTAATTTTTTTTCTATCACTTTTTCCCTGAAACATGTGAAAACAGAACATCAGCTGAAGATGGAGATGAAGGTGAATGACATGCTTCCACAGCTGAGGCAAGAAGTGTTACAGAATCAACAACAATTTTTTCAGCAACACACTCAAACGTTTAATGAAATGTTTCAGAAACAACAACTGCACTGTCAGCAACTCATTCAATATTTTACTCAGACTTTAGAGGAAAATCTCAAAGTAATTAAAAGTCTTAATTCAGCTGTTCATCAGCAACAAAATGAAGTAACCTATTTTGATTTGTCGTAACTTTTTAATTTATTTTATCCGCCACTGGCTTAGTATTTTGATTGAACTTCATTTTTATCAACTTTTTAGGCTGGTCCATTAAAAGACTCGCCGAGGGAGAAGAATGCGGTGGAGTTGTTGGAGGGACCGGTCTGTACAACATCGATTGCAGAAAACAACAAAACTAAATCCATCGATAAACTGCTTCCTTATGCAGATGTGATAAGCAATGATCCAAACAGTCAGCAGTTTCAATCCCAGTACGAAACCTGTTGTGAGGATGATATGGCATCTGTGGAAAATGTCGTTCTGCATGTAGACAGTGCCATTAACGTTCAGCCAAACAACAATGTTGAAATGGTGGAGGAGAGAGCTTCCGTAGAGAAGATGAATGCACCACCTCTGGATGTTCCAAAACTTGATGTTGCTGATGGTGGCGAGGGTGGTGTTGAAAATGTTGACCAGATTTTTTTAAATTCTTTGGAACGTTATGAACAGACCTCAAAAAAACTTACTGCTGATAAATTGATTCTTGTTAACAATAAAAAGAAAGCCACAAAAGCGTTAAAAATTAACGTTAAATCGAATTTGAAAATGCTTGACAACATTCCAAACAGTTCAACTACTGCAAAGACACAACAGCCACAACCAACAACAGCCACAACAACGATGAATACGAAAACCACATTGCCTCCTCCACCATCCAACGCTTCCAAAGAATTATTTGCAATTCCAAGCAAGAGAGGAAAACCGAGGAATGCCAAATCTAAAATGAACAAGCCCGACAACGATAACGCAGATGAGGTTCAGGATAATGATGACGATTGTGATGATGATGATTACGTTCCTGGGAAGGTTCCAGTTTTTGATAAAAAGTTGCCAAGGAAACAGAGATCTCGAAAAAGGTGATTTGCTGATTACAAAAGCTTTTTACGATTTCTTGTTATTAATATTACAAATTTTAAATTCTCCATTTACATAGCGCCTCCTTTTCTTTCTAATGTTTTATATTTTTCTCCACTCAGATCCATCTCAGAGAATGCTGACATCCAAAAAAGTGAAACCGCCCTACCCCAGATTATGGAAACGTTATCAATTGACGACCTCAATGTCAAACAGGTGACAGATTTCATTTTATTTCCATTTTAAGTTTTTTTTACTCTTTTTTTTTAAAACGAAATTTGTATGATATGTGTTAATTAAGTTTGTCCATCACGTCATTCAGGACAAGAAAAAGGGTGGTAACGTCGGCAGGTCCAAGCTGGCTACTAAAACTAACAAATAATCTAAAACTGATGAATAATTCTGGCCTTTCATTGAATGAAAATATTTCGTTTTTACATTATTATAGTGTACGATTTTATGTTTTGTTTCCATTATTTTCTTTTAATTTATCATCTCTAGCTTGTCAAACATTATTGACGGCTATACTTGAAGCGTTCATCGTGTTAATTACATATACTTAAAATAATTGATAAGGTTCATTCGTTTTAATCAATATATTTAAATTTAAACGACTTGAAGATTATATTTAATGATTTAATTATTATCAACCTGACGTAACGGTCTTATCAACGAATTGTCGCTGTGGTGTACATAGTTCATGACGCACATTTATAGAGAATACTTCAAACATGAGGTGCGTGGTTGAGTTTGAAGAACAATAGTTAAATTTTATCTCAAAATTGATAAATGCTTGTTTCCTGGACTAAAAACATGTCTGAGAAGACTGTATTTAATGTTTTTGATGATAATACGGAAGCAATCAATAATATAATGTGATGTATGTGTGTGGGTGTGCCATATATGATGCAATTTCCTTGAATATTAGTGCTGTTTTAAGCGTTTCGTTTGAACTCTCTTTAAGCGTACTTACACATTTTGGCAGCTTTAATTCACGAATTTGGCAAAATTTTTAACATAAATAGCTTATGTTTTTCAATAACTGTAGTTTATGCTGTTTAATTTTAATTGTTTTATGTCTAGAATTGAACTAAAAAATTTTTTTCTCAACAACTATTAGTATTTCAGTTCTTTGTTTCTACGGACACGACGTGTTGTTGAGCTTAAAAAAAGTTATTTCAATCTCTTGTTAATTTATTTATTAATTTTAATTCACGATGGTTCTCGATATAGAATTATTTCGAGTCGAAAAGGGTAACGATCCGGAAAAAATTAGAGAAAGCCAAAGAAAGCGTTATAAGGATATCACACTGGTCGATAAAGTGATCGAATTGGATTCCAAATGGAGGAAAAGTATGTCTGATTGATCAAATTATTCCAAAATATATAAATCGTTTGTTAGATGTAAATTGGTTTTTTTTTGTGATGATGGATGTGAAAGCTGTTGTTGTTGAATCTCTGCTTTTGCCAAATTCGTTTTCTTGATTTTTTTCAATTTTTTAAAATGTTTTTTCAGTATTTAATTAATTTTAATATTAGTTTTTGTCAATCTCATAATCTAATATTTAAAAAAATATTTCAACAACTACCAGTGAGATTTCAAGTGGACCAGTTAAAAAAGTTACGAAATGTTTGTAGTAAATCAATTGGAGAAAAAATGAAAGTTAGTTTTTAGTACAAAATTTTTTTTCATATTACTTTAAGTTTGATTATTGATTACCTTAATTTGGTGATAAATTAATTAAACTATCATTTTTCAACTTCTCAAAGGCCAAAGAGGCTATTGGAAAATCGGATGAGATACCCATGGAAATTTTAAATGATCTGTCCAATGTGGATAATGAAAAAGTTAAGGTAAGGTGAAATAACATCTCTAGAGTTTTTAACATAGGTTTTTATAATTTTATTGATAATTTTTTAAAATCCGGAGTTTTTTTATGTTACTTCCTACTTTACTTAATTAACAATGTGTTATATCATTACCTAAATGCTTAATATATTCAAAGGCATTAACAATAACTCAATTGAAAAAACTATCGACCATTGCTGACGAGCAAATAAAGAAAAGTGATGAGGATTGCACTGAACTCGAGAAAAAAAGGTTGGATGCCCTGAAGGAAATTGGTAACCTTGTTCATGAGTCTGTGCCTGTCAGTGATGATGAGGTAGCTACTTCTCTAAAAATTTACTCAAATTTTTTTATTACTATTGGCAATTTTTAATCTTCTTTGAAGAATTGTTATGTTTTAGAAAAACAAGTGTAGTATTTAGCGTGTAATTATTTTAATTTTGTCAATTTTAAAATTAACCAGGAGAAAAATGGTTTGGAAAAGACGTGGGGAGATGTGGAAACAAGAAAGAAATATTCTCATATTGATCTGATACACATGATTGATGGATTTGATGGTGAGAGGGGGGCTGTCACTGCTGGAGGCAGGGGATATTATCTGAAAGTCAGTCAAGTTGGATGGAGTCAATTATTTAACATTACGTGAAAAGCGAAATTTATTCTGACTAATCAATACTTTTTTTCAATTAAATATTTTTCAACTTTATTCTATAATAAAGTAAATTCTGTGCTGATGAAATCAGACATAATTCTTACTAATACTCACAGTTTTGCTAATTAATCTGAATTATTTAATTTATCAACGAACATGAAACACGCAAGAGCACAAACATGTCCAGTTGATAATAGAGATGTAAATAGTTTAAATAAACGTATTTAAAATCTAATGCAGTTATAAATATTGGTTCAAGGGCATAGAAGTCAGTTAAAATGGTCTAGGTATGTAGATGAAATGTTGTGCTTTAATTAAGGAAAAATAGTGAAAGACATTTTTCATATCAGGTAGGTAGGAAGTACTACCAAAAAATTTGAAAGCAGTAGACTGATAAATTAATCCTATGTTTGGGCTGTAAAACTTGATGTATCTTTGTCATTGTTTAGGGGGGAATTGTTATTTTTGTTTCGGTTATTATTATTTTGAAAATTATCATTACAGGGCCCAGCAGTGTTCTTGGAGCAAGCCATCATCCACCTGGCTCTGAGGATGCTGGATGACAAGGGGTTGGTACATCCATCTCTTTGTTGGTGTTCTGTATTTTTGTTGGTGGGTGGTGAAATAACAATGAAGTTGTCGAGTCATTAGATGAGAAAATATTATTCATTGGCCAACTTATCAAGAAATATCTTTATATCTTTTAAGCATTGTTAATAGGATAGGCATGTAAGCATATTTTTATATAATTGAAGTGAACAATGAAATTGGAATTACATTAAAAAGTTCCTATCTGACTCATATGAAACTGATAAAATCAAACTATTGGATTATGTCGATTCGGTATTTTAGCAAACCAGGAACAACAAAATTGAATTTAAAGGGCACTTTCCTTCTTGATTAAACACAAAATAATAATTATTAACAGATTGAAAATAATAATTAGGATAAATTTTCAATTGAATGAATGTCCAAAGTGAGTTTTGGTATCTATCAGACAGTATGCAAAATAAATGTATTGCAATTGGTATGGTAGAATTATATTTCAGTTGTAGTAATAATGTTAAATCACAATTGCTTGTTTAATGAAGTAAAACTAGTTAAATCAATTAAATAAAGATAGATTGTCACAGTGGCTTAGACAAGTATGGATATATTTCAGCAGATAATTTCATAGCTTGCATGATTTTTCTTGAAAGGAAAAAAGTAAAAAAGTAGCTACAATGAAGTTAAAAATGTATCAATGCTCTATTTCTTTTTCAAATCAATAGTTTTTATGAATGAGTAACTTGTGGTTGCATAGAACATTTTTTTTCAATCATCAAATGATGCCGTCACTGAGATAACAACACTACCAACCTATCAGATACAAAGCTCTGTACACTCCATTCTTCATGAGGAAGGAGGTCATGCAGGAAGTCGCTCAGCTGAGCCAATTTGATGAGGAATTGTACAAGGTGGGCTACTCATTACTTAAGATGAATTATGTCCCTATCTCACTTTTTATCTACTGCAAATTTTAATGTATTGCTAATATTTATTATCACGTTGAAATTTTGTGCAGTTGCACATTTTTTAAAAATTTTGCTTATTCATCAATTAGTCTTAATTTTTTCAGTAAATAAAAGTATAATAAGGTTGATTATGACCATCCAGGTTGTTGGCAAGCGTAGTGAGAACAAGGAGGATGCAGGTGAGGAAGAGAAGTACCTCATTGCTACCTCTGAGCAACCAATCGCAGCTTTCCACAGGTTGGTTGGTTGGATAGTTGGTTGCTTGGTTGGTGAATTATTCAAATATTCACTCAATTTGTGATGATCTGACTATTGTTTTATATGCTACTTCAGTTGAACATTGATTTGTTTTAATAACTCACAATGTTGATTTATTTTTATTCATACCTCAGTTTTAAATATTCTATGGGTACATATTTTGACATGTCTAGCCAAACATTGTAGCATAAAACTGTGGCGCATACTTAAATATATAAAAATCACACACAAGCATGCACATAAATATACATACTTTTCTAAATGCACACAAACACGTATACATACAAACAAACTTTTGAATGTACAACAGAGATGAGTGGATACCAATACAAGACCTGCCCATAAAGTATGCAGGCCTGTCGTCGTGCTTCAGGCAGGAGGTGGGCTCACACAGCAGGGACACCAGGGGCATCTTCAGGGTTCATCAATTTGAAAAGGTTGGCACATTTTGTTGCTATTGTGGTGATGTTTGAGGTTTTTGTTTGTTTTTTGTTTTTTTTAAAGTTACACAAGGATGCATTGTAGTTTGTTTTTTTTCAGTGTTAAATATTTGTGGGTTAATTGTAATTTTAAGGGTTAATAAAAGAAACAACCTATGTCCTGGTTATGACATTAAACTGACCCTCACTGCCTTGTGAGTGATGTTGGATCATCAAAGGCTAGGCCCGCCGCTTATAACTGTGGTTGCGTAAGGAAGGGCGTCCTGCATAAAAATTAGCCAATAAAATATTTATGATGACATTTGGTTTCATCATAGGTAACCAAACGGCAACCCCCGATCTCGGGGAAAATGTCGTCTAAAGGTGTGTTGTTGTTGTTGTAATAAAAGAAACAACCTGATCTATTTGTTGCAGGTGGAGCAGTTTGTGCTGACCTCACCGCATGAGAACAAATCATGGGAGATGATGGAGGAGATGATCAAAAATGCCGAAGCTTTCAATCAGGTACTTGGAATTCCATACAGGATTGTTAACATCGTTTCAGGTGAGTTGCTGCCGTTGTTTCTGGTTTTCTTTCATTCTCTTTATTTTCAGTAATATAAACCTGCCTTGTTCATCTTGATTGTAGAGCTCAAAAATAACATGTTGTTCTTTGTTATTAACTGTTTAGTACTTATCATCTTTTTTACATCAAAACCTCACCAACCAAACATTATCAGGTGAGCTGAACAATGCAGCTTCAAAGAAGTGGGACTTGGAGGGATGGTTTCCGGGTTCAGGAGCATTCAGGGAGCTGGTTTCGTGCTCCAACTGTACTGACTACCAGGCCAGGAGATTGCTCGTTAGGTATGGAGTCACCAAGAAAATGAACCAAGAGGTTAATATCCTGCTGTTGGTTGATGTCATTTGTTGTTCTAAATCGTTGTGATTTTTGGCTGCATTTGAGTTTTTATAATTATTATATTTAATTGAATTTAACCAAGATAATTTTGGTTCATATTATTTCTCGGAGATTAAAATACGCCGACCACCACCACACAAATGTCCAACACAAACAGACAGAATATGTGCACATGCTGAATGCAACGATGTGCGCCACGACGCGAACCATCTGTGCGATCCTTGAAAACCATCAGGAAGAAGATGGCATCAGGGTCCCCGAGGTTCTTAAACTCTTCATGCCGCAGGGTTACTAATTATTATTTTATTATTATTACTCTTCTTTTTATTTATGTTGATATTTTATTTATAGTTTTTTTTAACAGTAGATGTCACCTGTATAAGAGATGACGATGGGTGCAGTGTCGTCAGTGATGATGATGATGATGGCACTGAGGAAAATGATAACTGCCTGTCGTATTATCATAATTTTTTCATCACCTTCATTATCATAATTTATTATATTTTCAATTTATCAAAGCTTACTGCGAGAAGATTCCATTTGTTAAGCCAGCACCCATCGACCAGCAGGACAGCAAGTTAAAAAGCAAGAAGGCAGCTGCTGCTAGCAAAGCAACTGAGGGTCATAATGGATTAATCGAGAAGGCTGAAAAAATTAAAATTACTGCCTGAATTAATTAATTAATTAATTAATTGAGATTAGGAAGTTTTGGAGTGTTATGATCGATCATATTATCGCTTCTATGTTTACAGATCTAGGGATATTTACTAATTATAGATTTTCATTTTTATTATTTATTATTATTATTCTGTAGTTCATGACATATTCATGATTATGATTTGAGATGATGTCGAAAGTTTTTAGTGAAAAATAAATTTAAAATATTTTGTCATGTAGATAATTTTAAACTAGAGAAAATAATGTCCATCTCTCCCCTCTCTGTTTGTGCTTTTATTTTTCGCTTCTTGCTACCCTTTAAACGATTCACTCTTGTTGAAGACGTGTGTAAATGGAGTTGTTATGTTATTTATTCATTTCTGACCTCTGGTTTTCGTTGTTTCATTTCACTTTTTGGTTTTATGATTTTGTTGTTTAGGCGAAATATAACATTATTATTATTATCGTTGTTGTTATTATTATTACTATACTTTTCTTGTAATAAATATTTTAATATTAGTGAATTGTTTTTTATACGGTGTAGGGTATCTTCTTACCTAGTAACTAACGCTAGCATTTGCGAAAATCTTTCTAAAATCATTGCATCATGTGGCATATGTATACTTTGAAGTAAAAAAAACGTCCTACCTCGGGGGAACTGGGTCTCTGGACGCTAAACGAAGATTGATAGATTGATTTTGAAGTAAAATGTAATGAAACTCAATCATAATTTAATTTCCTCTTTTTTAACTACTTATTACATAATATTAATACTTGTTAATACTTGCTCACCTATCTCGAAACATTATGGTCAGTTTGATGATGTTGAATTGGGTTTTAAAATATTCAATGAAAAGCTTTTAAAAATTGGTGACGATGTTGCTCCACTTCATGAAGTTCGATGGAAACATGTCCCGACTGCACCATGGTTTGACAGTGACTGCTAAACGGCTAAGCAAATGTGTCGAATAAAAGAAAAAAGGTTCAAAGCGACTGGTTGTTATGGTTATGATGATAAAGTTGATTGGGTATTGGCAATGAAATAAAAGAATGTTTGTTACTCAGCAAAACGATAGTTTTTGATTCGCTAAAACGTCAATTCAAAAATAATTCCAAATACTTAAGGCAAACGGTTAATAAATTATTAGGAAAAGAGACAACATTGAAAATGAAGTTGGTTCAACGCGTTGCGCCGATGATTTAAAAAAATTTGCTGCAAAGTTAAAAGTGACTAAAAAGTCAACTGAATGTTTTAATTTTTCAGTAATTTCTACTATTTTATGATTCCACTCGAATCGTTTCCAGTGTTGACTGAGGAACAGATATGTAAAGTTGTTAATGCGTCACCTACAAAGTCATGCTCACTGGACCCAATACCGACGCGTGTATTTAAAGAATATACTGACTGTTTTATTGTCTACTTAGCGGATATAATCAACATGTGCTTAACGAAAGGTGTAATGCCACAGGTTTGGAAGGATGCGACTGTCACGCCAATTCTAAAGAAGACAGGATTAGATAAATCAGATCTGATAAATTTTAGGCCGGTGTCAAATTTGTCTTTCGTTTCTAAAATTATGGAACGTTCCATTGAGTTAGTTTTGAATAATAATATAAATAAAAAGGGTATTTGGCCTTCGCATCAATCTGGATATAGAAGGTTTCATTCGACCGAAACAGCTCTATCGGATATATTCTCTCATGTTTATTCAGCAGTTAATGTACAAAAAGTAATTCTGTTGACATTCCTGGACATGAGTTCGGCGTTCGATACTGTAAATCATAAAATCCTGTTGGACAGACTGAAATATTGTTTTGGTTTAAATAGGATTGCGTTAACGTGGTTCGAATCATTTTTTACTGGTCGGACTCAGCAGATTTAAATACACTAACATTCTCAGTCACGTACATATATGCAAACAAACGTAAAAACAAAATATTTTAATCTGAAATTTTTTTTAAATTGAAAATTTAATTTTGCAGGCGGTTTTTAAATAATCTGCACAGACAAACCCCGCAAACCGCAAAACCCGCAGAGTTTTGAGAATTTTTTGTCCGCAACCGTGGTTTGAAACCGCATTGCTCTAGTAGACATATTTACATGTTTTTGCTTCAATATAATAAGCAGTGTACATTCCAATATCAATCTTCCCACCTGATAAATGTAGATGAGTGCCTCTGAAAAGAAATAAATTCATTGTTATGACGACGAAAACAGTTCGTTTAATATTGAAAAGAAACAATTGACGAACCTGTTGGACCTAGTGGGAAACAGACGAAGTCAAAAGAAGCATAAAAGTGTAAATCAGTTTGAAACAAGTATGCATGCCTGCCTATGCTGGCACACTTGTGTGTGTGTGCGTTTGTTCTCGTGTGTGTGTGTGTGTGTGTGTGTGGTGTGTGTTTGTTTGTTCATATGTGTGTATGTTTGTGCCTGCGAACGTATGTGTCAACTCGCTTAGTTGTGGATTAATACTGCACTTAATAAATAAATCATGCGGCTATCCAAATCTGTTCTTAAATATTTTGATTTATTATTTAAATTAACAAATTCGTGCTCGTTTGTACGTCCGTGCGTTATCACGTTCGTGATGATATGTACGTGTATTTGCGTGTTCTCAGGTCTTAAAACAATAACTGCGTCAATTAACTTGATAACAGATAGTAACAACGATAATCAATAACAGTTTTTTGAAAATGTAACATGAGCGATACTACTAATGAATCGAGGACCAGCACCACGTATATTCACACCTATTCAGTCTTTCATACAAAAACTAACAACTGCAGGTAGCCACGTCAAAACCCTGCTACTGTCAGGCGCAAAGTCGGTGGTGCAAAAAACTTTTGCCACCCTTTTATTTATTTCGAAAAAATTTGAGTTTGCTGAATTTTTCAATCCAATCCAATGTATTTTTTCACAAATTTTGCAAGCAACTATATTCACACACGCGCGCGCACACACACACACTACCACACTACAAACATTGAGAGAGACAGAGACAGACACACACTCACGCAGAATGACGTATCCACATGCAAACGGTCACAAGAAGTACATTCTCATATCCTACCTTACAATACAGGCAAACACAGATGCATTAATTTTTTGGTGCGATCCTGATTCCTGATAATTATATTCAAACAGACTTAATCTTTTACTAATATTAGTAATTAATTAATTCATGAGCAAATAATTATCGCTTAAATATATTTTTTACGTGCATATGATTAAATAGCACCTTTGTAAGATCACTTCCACGTACGTAAATCTACCTCAGTTATTTTTATACACGACTGCATATTACGTATTTCGTGTGTGTGGTCTCCAATTGTGTTGGATTTTTTTTTCTTTACATTAAATATATATTATCACTAACAATAGAGAAAGATAAAAGCAGTCATTGTTTCGATACTACAATGTCTGTTTGTTCAGTTGCTTGTGGTTTAGTTCAGTACTTGCTGTGTTCGTCCTTTTTTCAACATTTTTGTATCTTTGCTTTTGTGTCATCTTTTTATTTTTTGTTATTTTCTGGCTGGCTGTTTTTTACTTTGTTGTTGGTTTGTTATTCGTTGCTGTTGTTGTTTGTTTGTTTGTTTGTTTGTTTGTACTTGTAGGTTGTATGTAGCAGTGAAGCTTGCTTATAACTTTCAACTTCGATCCTTTGTTGTTCCTCACTTTATCTGTTGCCTGCATTGTTTCTTTGCTGTTTATTTCATCAATGAATCGTTCAAACGCAAGCAAAACAACAACTTTTCAATAGGTGCCAGACGTCAAAATGCTCATACAAACTAGTTTCCTTCTTTATATCTGTAGTACAGTAGATAAGTGATGCATCATGTGCATGTTTTCTTAATTTAACGCTTCTGTCGGAGTATTTTGCATGTTGTATGTGGTTTCTTTGTGTTTTGTATCTCACTGTGTGCATCGTTATGTTTTTATTTTGCATACCTTGTCATATATGAAGACTTCCAAGGCCTGTGTACGATGTTTGTATTGTTTTTCCAGTGCTTGAATTCATCTTCATTCGCACAAGGAAAACTTATCTTCACGTCATCGTCCTGAAAATTGCGCAAGTGCTTCCTGCTCGTAACTTTTCAGAGAACGGCCGGTTATAACCGTTAAAAGAAACACTTGGTAAAATGTAAAGTGTGCATCATCGCTATGAACACGTCCATAAAACAATTTTGTCAATTTAATAAACTATAACTTTTGTACGTGTTTTGTATATACACGCACACACACGCACGCACGCACGCACACACACACACTCAAAATTCACATGTGTCACACTTAACGTTATAATAAGAAACATTTAAAATACTGAATAATAATATTCAGTTGTTTTATAAAATCTCAACGTACGATCACATTTGCATGCATGATTACGTTGTATATGTATATATTTTGCGTGTGTATGAATGCGTGTATGTGTATGCATGTGGTGTATGTGTGTGTGTCAATGTGCACATACGAGTGTGTGTACGTGTGTGTATATGTTATTGTGTGTCTGTTTTCACACATGTATATGCTTTAGTATAATTATGTATGCGTACGTATGTGGATGTTTGAATGCGTGTGTGTGTACGTGCGTGTATGTGTTTATATGTGCGTGTATGTGTGTGGCCTCTAAATAACAATTAAACAGTCATATAAGTGACATTGATGAGTTGAAACGGCATTATTAATAATCTTAATATTTCATTCATTCTAACTTCTGTTCATCCATTCTAGCTGCTGTTGTTTTTGTTGTTGTTATTGCCGCTGCTGCTGTTGTCGATTTCAATGTTATTGATGTTGATGTTGTTGTTGTTAATGTTGCTTTTTTTTAGTTGTGGTAATTCTGTTGAGATGTATGTTTTTGTTGTTGCGTTATTGTTGTAGTAGTTTTAATAGTTGTTGTTGTTGCTGTTGTTGCTGATATTATTAACATTGTGGCTATTGTTGTTGATCTAAATGATGTTATTAATGTTTGTGTCGTTGTTTTCTGCAATTGCTTTCACCGTCTCTTATGTCATTAATATATTTTCCGATAGATAGATTTATCATAAACCGAGAATATAGAAGTTGTAATGATGATCATAAAAATTACAATGATGCCGATGGCTACGATGTGAGCTGTGATGTTGATGATAAAAAAGATCTCGCTGATTTTAAATATCTGTTTTAAGGTTTTAAAATGGCTTTGCCGACAATGGTGCGATATATATGTATATGTATATATACACCTTTAACCTTTAACCTATAACCTTTAACCTTTAATATATATATATATATATATATATATATATATATATATATATATATATAAAATATAGTAGAATGTGTAGACAATGGTCAACATATTCTACAGTTGATGAGTTGAAAGTTTGCTATCTACATCATCGTCATCATCGTTGCCATCTTCCTCCTCCTCCTTCTCCTCCTCCTCATCATCATCGTCGTTGTCGTCATCATCATCATCACCGTCATCATCATCATCATCACCGTCATCATCATCATCATCACCGTCATCATCATCATCATCATCACCGTCATCATCATCACCATCATCACCATCATCATCAGCAATAATCACGTCAATCGACTAATCTTCAAACGGTCAATGAAGTGTTATTACTGTTGTTTTTATATTTGTTATTGTTATTTGTTATTGTTATTATTATTATTGTTGTTGTTACTATTATTATTATTATTATTATTATTATTATTATTATTATTATACTATTGTTAATGTTACTCGTGATTGGATTATGAGATTAAGTAGAGCGACAATGAAAGAGAATGTATCAATCAAACTTCAAACTTGAATGTTACACACACACACACACACACACACACACACACACACACACACATACACACTCACACATACACACTCACATACACATACATACACACACATTTTATACACACATTTTATACACACGTGCACACACACATTTTATACACACATACACACACACGCACATGTATAATATATGTATATTTCGCATCTATCTGGTAAACTTCGGTTTAAGCCTTTTGGTCAGAAGTTCTAAACAAAACTAACTTTTCAGATTTCGTTTAACTGAATAACTATGGTTCTATTGATAAAATCAATTTATACATGAATAAAAAATTAATGTCTTTTAAAATGTCTTTCAATTCTGGTTTCCTTACAAAAAAAAATTTTAAATGCTTTTAAAATTTATACCCGAAACCAGCAAGACGCACATGGCAGTTTACTGCTATAGGGCGTCAAATAAAACCTTATTTTTGGATTTGTGGGAACTACTTTCATTGATTTTATTTAAATCTTCTGTAATTAAGCTGGTGTCTGCCTAGACATAAATGTTTCTACTTTTGATTTTTGTTTTATGATGAAGAAGAAGACGAAGAAGATGACGACGACGATAGTAATGAGATGATGAAAATATGATAAAACATTAATGATGAAAAAGTTTTGTAGTGTTGTTGTTACGGCGCAACCAGAGTGATGTTAATGGTGATAAACAACAGTAACGATAGCAGATAATGCGGCTCATACTATGTTATCACCATCATCGTTAAAACTCGATGAACATGACGAAAGCCGCTTAAGATGATGGAGATTTTATTACGGTGTTTCTGATTAACAATGGATGCGATAATGACGTCATCATACTTGAACACAGGAAAACATTAAGATTAACGTTAATGACAGGAAACAACAACGTTGCTTATTATGATTAATAATAAAATCATTATTATTATTTTTGTTTTTACATATAATAATAATGATAATAATAATAAGAATAATAACATAACAGAATACAAGAAGTTCAAAATCATTCAACTACTTCAACAACTACTACTACTACTACTACTACTACTACTACTACTACTACTACTACTTTACAAGCACTATTACTACTTTTACAACAACAATTACTACTGCTACCACTGCTGTTGCTACAATAGCTACTGCTACTACAACTGTTAATTTAATATACTGTAACAAATAGTAAATAATAGAGCATTAGAGTAGAAGTCCTTATACCTCTCGTCTTGTTTACAGGTTTTCCTTTCATGCCACTAACAATTTTTCCTCCTCTCGTAACTTTGTTTATGCTGCAAGTGCATTGATACAATCACCAAAAAATTAAACTCACACTAACACATAGAAACACGCGCGCGCAAATTCACGCACGAACGCAAACTCCTATTCTTATATTTAGAAAATATTCACATCTATCTATCTACCATTTCACATTCGCAAGCAGAGCAGAGGCAAGAATACAAACACAAACACTTGAAGAATTAAACACAAACGCACATACGCACAAAAAGAGATGTGTAAAAGGAGAAAAAATAGCGATGAAAATAAAAGAGAGAAAGAGAGAAAGAAACAACGAAAAGAAAAAAGAAAATTACGATTTACTCTCAGAGATAGATAGATAGACATATACACACACATACACACAAATACCCACACACATACACACAAATACACACACACATACACACAAATACACACACACATACATACAAATACACAAATACACACACATTCACATGCACATTCACACACGCACACAGACACACTACGAAATATATACAACACTCGCAAGAAAAAGTCTTGTGAGTTTCACACATAAATATTTACTTACGTATTAAACGATGCTTCGATGCATGCATTCATGCAAAGAGAGTACAAAGTATTGAATAAATAACATTTTTTTCTAAAAAAGAGTAACTTAAAAATCATTTAGATTTTAAGCCAGTTTTTAATTTTATTTATTTAAGAAAAAAAGGTGAACTCTAAGGAACAGCATAAGCATGTTATTGTGTTTATCTTAACATTTATGTATGTTGCTTTTGTATTTTTAACGTTTTGTATGTATTTGTATTTATGTGGTGCATTGTGCATAAATGTATGTATGTGCATGTGTATGTGCGTGTATATAAACGTGCGTGTGTTTGTAGGCAGTTATAATGACAATTTGTTGGCTTGTATGTCATTGTCTCTTGTCCAGTTTGCCAGTGTAATTGCTGTGCTACACTAATTGCTTGCCTGCTTGAACCAGTTGGATGATGTGGTGAAGCATATGATGGTAATTTATTTTATCGCGATAAAAAATCATCTTAACGATATTTTTGTATAAGATGGTGTACGACTGTACGTGTACGTGTATGTGTATGTTTTTGTTTGTGTCTGCTCATTTGTATGTGTTTGTGTTTGAAGATATGTGCGCATGAATGTGTGTTTGTTTGTGCGGTTCTTTAAATGTATCATCTGTTTTTGCTTAGACATGTGTGTGTGTGTTGTCTGTTTGTCTGTGCGTGTATGTGCGTGTGTGTTGTATTCCAATTTGTTTCGATTAAATTAATTAATGGATTAACAGAGAAATCTGTCGGACCGTTTCGTATTTATGTAAGAATGTGCGTGTGTGTATGTGCGTGTTTGTGCATAAATAATTTCGTGCTATGTTTGTTTATGTGTGTGCATGTGTGCGCGCCTGTGTGTGTGTGTGTGATTCCTTTTTGAGTTTTTTATAGCTGAGTTTGTTTATATTAGTTAAAAAGCCATGAAGTTTGTAGGCTTTTAAAGTTTTTAACCATCGAATTTTTAATAAAAATTAAAATAAACTGATAATGGCATGTAGTCTGGACGTGAACATCAGCGTCATCTTCTGCAACAACATTAACAACAACATCAACAACAACAAAATCAACAACATCAACAACGACAACAACAACGACGACGACAACATCTACAACTACATCAACATCAGCAACAACATCAACAACAACAACAACGTCAACAAAAACAACAACAACGACTACAACAATGATGATCAACACCAACAACAACAAAAACATCAGCAACAAAAACAGCATAACATCATCATCATGAGAGAATATATCAGCAGAACTGCAAAGGTGTCAGCAAATATAATTGGTACCATTCAAAGCTTTTTGAAAATATAACATCAATTTCGATTTAATCAATAACAACAACACAATATCAAAAAACATCAACAATTAACTAAAAACAACAACATCAACAACAACAACATTATATTTATAATATAGTATAAAACCATAAAAACAACAATATAAACAACTACAACGACAACAACAACATTACATTTATAATATAATATAAAACCATAAAGACAACAACATCATCAACAACTACAACGTTTTATTTAGCAATAACTTTAAATGTGATTAGCGATAATTTACTGCAACTAATTAAACTTGGCACACATTGCTACATACATAGATAAATACACATTCACACACATAAACATAAACATACATAAACATACACCCAAATACATACAAAAATACACGTACGGATAACGCACATATGACTTCATGTAGTTGGTGTGTTTGTTGTTTGAGTTGCGGTTGTGACGGTTGGTCGTCTTTGATTTTTTTGTGTGAGTGGTGTGGTGTGTGTGTGTGTGTGTGTGTGTACAGAGTATCGAATCGAATACAATGATACACGATTCATAATTACAATATTGTATGAGAAGAAGATTGAAATCTGGACAATGCGACATCAAACGATGATCGTCTTATTATTATAAATGACTTGATCTCTGGCGTGTGAATGTGAGTTTGTGTGTGAGTGTGTGTGTGTTTGTGTGTGTATGTTTGAGTATTTCAATGTATTTCTGCATCTGTGTGAGTCTGCATAGACTTGGGTTGTTGTCTATTTATGACTTTATGTTCGTATGTGTTTGTATGAATATTTTCTAAAAAATTATGTGAGTATGTGTATTTGAAGTAGTTTCACATACGCATTTATAATATGTGTGTATGAAAAGTATGTGTGTGTGTATGTGCGCGTTTGTGTATGTGTGCGTTTATGTAAATGAATGAATGCATTTATAAATATTTGTATAAATGAATGGTCCATTTGATAATTGCAGCTATGATTACATGATTGAATGTGTATATATATATATATATATATATATATATATAAAATCTTATGATAAATATTATATATTAATTTTTGTATCTATATGAATTTAAATCAATTAATTTATTTAATAATAATCGTCAAGTCAAAATACGTTGTGCCATATACATGTTCGTTGCATTAAAACTAACATAACATGCATATGTGCCAAACAACAAAGCAACTATTGTTATAACATTTTAAATCCTTTAATTCATATATAGCATAAATTACTGTACGTACGTATGTATATGTGTATACTACACACAAACACACACGCACGCACACACACACACACACACAAAATATAGATATTTATATAACAATTATATGTTTATACAAATATTAATAATAAATATATATATATATATATATATATATATATATATATATATAATAGATATCTATAGCCAGCCAATCAGCGTTTAGATTGCGATTTATATAAACATTTATCATATAATTTATTTAAAATGTATAATGTATATGTGGTACATAAATATTACATATATATGTATGTATAAATACATATGTATGCATGTATATATACATATATATGTATATAAATGTATAATATGTATATATATATATAATATATATATAGGCTATATAATAAGAACTACTTGGTCGCATAGCAGATAAAAGCAATTGAAATCTTGCTTGTGTTCATTGAATGATGTCAGGCTGAGATTTATTTATTATTGTTATTATTATTTTTATTTCGTTTTTGTTATTCCTAGTTACGTGCAAAACTTGCATGAAAGGTAAATATCATAATAATAATAATGTTATTATTATTATTATTTATTATTATTATTATTTGTTGTTGTTGTTGTTGTTGTTGTTGTTGTTATTGTTGTTATTGACTTGAATATCTTGTAAAACGTTTTAAACTTAATTCAAATTAATTATTCTCTTTTGTGATTATCTGTAAATATTATTTTAATTATTAATATTGAAAGTTATTGTTCGATGTTTCTAACCGTATAACACACACACACAAACACAGATACGCAGATAATATTATATGGTTAATTTTAGTAAGTTAAATATTGCAAGCAGGATTGCCATTTGAGCAGTTCGGTTAATTACACGTCTGCTAAGCCATTTAATAAATAGAGCTATATAAATTGCTGATTTTTATTTTATCGTATCTACAGTAGTGTCAATTATGCCGTTAGGGTATCAAAAATATCATTGCATTATATCATCTTGTTTTTTTATTTATTGTTGATTTATTCTTATTACTTTCACTGTTTGCCACAAGAACTGCTATAATATTTTTCATCGTTTATATTGTTGGCTCAAGTATTATTACTTTTCATTTTACTTTCTTGATTTTCATCATCATATTAAAGTCAGATCATCATTTTCATTTGTCAGATTATCATTCGTCATCATCGTCGTCCTCATCTTCTTCATCATCATCATCTTCATCCTCATCTTCATCCTCATCATCATTATAATCATCGTCATCATCATCTTCATCATCATCATTATCGTCACCATAATGAACAGGATAGTAATTACGATAATGGAGAGTGTAGCAGATGACCATTACGACAACGGGCATTATCGTCACAATATTTTAAGCAAGGTCTTAAAAATATTTTCAAATAATTTTTTGCGACAATTAAAAAGACATACGCAAGATCTGTATAAACGCCACCAAAAACAGCAGCAACAACAACATAAACATCCCACGTCACAACAACAACAACAACATGTTGATCAGCAGCAAACAGATGACAAACATCATCAATGGCACGGACAACATCAGAAACAACAACCCTTGAAACTTCAGACGCAAAAATACCAAGATATTCACCAACAACAACCTCAAAACCAACAACAACAGCACCACCAGCAACAGCAACAACATCTTCTGCACCATCTGTCAACATCTCTCTCTCTCCATCTCTCTGACATTTCCGATAGTTATTCAAATGCATTCAATACATCTATAACAGATTCTTCCAAATCTAGCCCTGATCACTCGACTAATCATTATAATCATTACCATGACTCTATTTCTACCCACCACCACCGTCATCATTATCAAAAAAGTCAACGCCAGCGATCGCTTCTAACGCGACCACCATTTTATGCAGTCCTAATTTTTTTCTTGGTCGTATTCGACGGCAGATGTTTTGTAGGGTCGTGTGGGCCGGGCCGTAGTTATTTTAGCCCGAGAAAAGGTCCCAGAAAAATGACCCCCTTCGTACTAAAACAACACGTTCCTAACCTATCAGAGACCACCCTTGGTGCCAGTGGACAGCCCGAGGGGAAAGTTTCCAGGGGCGATCCAGAGTTCAAGAAGCTGGTGACAAACAAAAATCCAAACATCATCTTTCAAAATTCAGAAGGGACCGGCGCCGATAGGGTGATGAGTAAGGTGTGTATTTCTGTTTGAATGCATTTGTTGTGTAGTCGTTTGCGTGTGCGTGTGCGTGTGCATGTGCGTGTGCGTGCGTGTGCGTGTGAGTGGAGTTGTTTGTTTGCATGAATGTACATGATTAATTTACTATATGGTAAAAGTTTCTTCCTTATCACTGATGACTAATATTCAATATGGTCGTAATAATCGAGAAGTCTGTGTTTATCTTTACCGTCGTCGCTGTAAAGTATCAAAGTGCCAGTACGAGTGTTGTTGTTAATTCTTTCGTCATCTCTGCATACATTATTCCTTTTGTCGTCGTCGTCATCATCGTCGTCGTCGTCATCATCAGCATAATTATCATTCTCACATCATCATACTCGTTTTAACATCCACATCTTCGCAATTATTATCAGGTTGTCATTATTTATTATGCATACTGCTAGTGAGTGATCAGGATAAAAGCCATCCTAATAAAAACAACTTAAATTCAATAGGAATTTAACATAATTAAAATTATCAGCATCTTAGTATTTATGTTGTGATTTTTAATTGTGTACGTACATTATGGGTACCCGAGACAAATGTAAATGTAAAAACACTACTAATAAAGACTGTCAGCAATGTAAACTGTGTGAATTGATTTATGTATGTATGTATGTATGTATGTATGTATGTATGTATGTATGTATGTATGTATGTATGTATGTATGTATGTATGTATGTATGTATGTATGTATGTATGTATGTATGTATGTATGTATGTATGTATGTATGTATGTATGTATGTATGTATGTATGTATGTATGTATGTATGTATGTATGTATGTATGTATGTATGTATGTATGTATGTATGTATGTATGTATGTATGTATTTATGTATGTACGTGTGTATTTATGTATGTATGTACGTTTGTATGTATGTTTGTATGTATGTTTGTATGTATGTTTGTATGTATGTTTGTATGTATTGTTGTACGTCGTCGCCGTCGTATCGTCCATAAGCAAACACGAGAAGCGATGAATGTGTTGTTAAATGCACTCTACGCAGACGTTAGCAGACAGACGTGTATGCACTTTGATAAGTTTGCGATACTTATTAAATCTCTACTCATCTACGCGCACATGTGTGTGTACCTGGTATTAAATGCCTTCTATAAATATGCAAATACGCAAATAAATTAATAAGTGTATTAACAAATACGTCACAAATTCAGCACGTATTCCACTCAAAATACTGGAAATAATAGGGACTTTTACTTTGTAATTATTAATTTGTTGTTGGTATATAACAATAACAACACGCTATAAAAGACGCTTAATTACGTGAATTCAATTAAATCGATGTTGTCTGCGTGAAATTGCGTTGGGAGGATGAGTTGGGATTAGGTTCTACCATGTCTAGGATGACAGACAGGTCTGCAACGTGTTCGTACGCGGTTTAAGTTGATCATAAGCCAAATGTAGCGATGTCGTTTGAGTTTGAAATTGAAATGTTGGCGATGATTGCAACGACCTGGGGAATAGTTAATGAAGTGCGAAGCTATTTAATTAACGTCTCGGTCAATTGCGCCGTTCTAGCGATTCGGTCGATCATTTTCCCAATCTTTCATAATATTCATTTTCTAAATGTTCATGAATTTTTTTTTTTATTTTCAACTACTTTTAATTTCATTTCTTTTAAAGATCGCATCGTTTGTTAGCAAGATTTCATCCAAAATACAAAAAAATCATCGCATTTTAAAGCCAAACGTATTTATTTAACAGTTGTTCAATCTTTCACTGCATTACTTTAACTTTAACTTGTCATTTTTTGGTCTTTTTGTAACATTTCGCCAAAAATCTACCGATATTTGATTTCTTTATATCAATAGCTCAATTTTTCTTTCATTTGTAACGTTTATTCAAGTTTATTTATAAATTCATTTCAGTCGTTTCGCATTTTCACATAAATAAACATTTTTCTCTAGAGATTTTTAACCTCTCGCAATATTTCTTCAAACGGTAACACAATGCAGCTAAGTTAAAGTCAGATTTGTAATTTTTATTACCTTATTAAAATTAATATAATTTAATTTTTCAAAAACATCTTAGTTTTTAAAATCATCTTTTTATCATCTGTAAAACAATTTTTTTTACATTTATATTATTTTTTTCTTCAAAATTTATTATCCTAACTCTAATTTCACTTATTGTTTGTATTTCTTCAAATCGCAACAAACTATTTTTAAAAAACCTCATGTAATTTGTATGGAACAAATAATTACTTTGATGACATTTTTATCACTACTTAATCATGACACGTCATTATCATTTTTTAAATTGTTTCATCGTAAGATTCCATTTCTTAATGACCAAAAATAAGTTCCAGCAACTCTTGTAAATCATAATTACAGGTAAAATCCATTAAATCGGTTAACAAAACTACACTTCAAGTTGTATAGCCATTTCAATTCTCCACACAAAACAACACTCCACCACAAAACACGCCACCACAAAACAAACAGACCACCACAAAACCCAAACACCACAATCGCAGAGATGCAGTGACAAATTGAACAACCTGGCCTCACTGACCATGGAGCAGTGGCCTGGGGTTCGACTGCGTGTGGTGGAAGCCTGGGACGAAGATGAAACTCATCCAGAAGACTCCCTACATTACGAGGGCAGAGCAGTTGACGTCACAACTTCTGATAAGGATAAGTCCAAGTATGGGATGTTGGCTAGACTTGCAGTTGAAGCCGGTTTCGATTGGGTGCACTATGAGTACAGGAGTCATATTCATTGCTCCGTCAAATCAGGTATGTCTATATAAATGCCAAAATATTTTTCCCTGAGTTTTTGCATGTATGTGTCATCGTGTTTGTTTTATTAATGTTTCAATTTTCAGAGTATATGTGATTGTCCGTGTTTCTGTGATGTTTATGTAGAACTGTATATTTCATTTTTAATAAAGCATAAATACATCGTAGAAAACATGAACCTTTGTATGTGCGATGCGTGAATCCGTGTTTTTTGTAGTACGTGCGTGAATCCGTGTTTGTGTAGTACGTGAGTGAATCCGTGTTTGTGTGGTTCGTGCGTGAATCCGTGTTTGTGTGGTACGTGCGTGAATCGTGTTTATTGTTGATGATAATTGCGAGTGCGCATTTATTTCCTTTTTAAGATTTTCGTTTGGGTGTATAAGCGTGCTTGAATGTTTATACATATTTATTTGTACGTAAGAAAATCAGTTAATGCGTTTACGTTCGCGATATCAATGCGAGGATGTATTTGTAGTTGCAATATACATGAAAATACTTCAGCAAAGATTAATTTTATTCAAATGAAAGATGTTAAATAACAAACTAAACATTTTAAAGTGTCTTCAAGTGCTGGCTCTCACCTTTTCATTCACATCTCACTGTCATTCTCCACCTTAAAATCCATCAATATCTCTTCATTTCACACATGCATATCATTGAAACAGATTTCATTTCGTGTGTATCTTTCTATTGAAGAATGCGATAAAGTTTATTAGCTTGTCTGTGTTGGTTTGTTTTTAGATATTTTGTCAAATTTATTTTTTTGAGTAATCTTGTGTGAATAATACTTGTTCTTTTGTTAGTTGAATCTTCACGTTAAAATTCTTTAAATCGTCTTCCTCTTTCTTTATTAGCAAAGATGTTTCATAAGAGAAGACGTTGTTTTATGAACATTTTCTAACTGACGACCTCTATAAACAACATCTATTTTACAAATTTAAAACATTCTGATGTCAATAAAATTATGCAAGTATTGTACTATCTTTCAGATTTATAAACTTAAATTACAAACCACTTGTTCACCGAGAGGGATAACCTTCTAAGTAATGCATGTGTCACCATCGGTGCCAATAAAAGCACATTATTAAAAAATTGTAAGATGAGAAAGTGCGAATGTTCATAAAGTTTAAATATTTTCTCATTAGTTTTTGACATCTGAGAAGTCCGCATGAAACAGAAACACCGAACCGAACAAAAAATTCACAATCATTTATATTCTCAATAATTAAAATATCATGTTACTGATTTGAAACTGCAAAACTACCGAAAAAAATATCCTATATAAGCACTTTCAGTTTCGATTTTGTAGGGTATTTCAGCAAATTTATTACAACCTGAAAAATCATGTGAAAAGATAATTTTTTTGGAAAATTTTCAAGTAAATTTTTTCTCTTTAAAAATCAGCCAAAAATAAAATCTCTAAGGTTGCCATCAATTAAAAATTTCACACAGACAAAAATGTTGACCTAATATTTAAAAAATGTGCTAAAAATGATAAGATTTCCGGAAACTTGAACGAAACGTAAAAACTTTCGTTCTACTAAATACATTTCAAAATATTTCAAATCCACATATTCACACAGAGCAATGTCTCAGTACAACAAACATGCTTTCAGATGTTAAACTAAAAAAGGATTAATTTCAATTGCGCGAAATACAGTTTTTTCATTGAGCATGCGCTCGGAGAGACCATACACACATAGTACAGTTGGCGGTAAAGCCAACTCTGGCAGTACAGTTTCTCCAACCTGTAATTGATACCTAGGTGTTTTAACACCGCTTTTTTGCATGATGCGAACGTTTACGTGTGTATGAATGTGTGTGTGTGTGTTTGTTTGTAGTACGTGTATTTGTGTGTGTATGTGTGTGTTTGTAGTACGTGTGTGTACGTGTGTGTAAGTTTGTATGTGGAGATTATTAGTACGTGTGTTTGTGTGTACATTGTAGTGTATGCAAACATTTGTGGATGTTTGTGTTCTCTGAGTGTAAACTATGAATAGGTCAGTATTAATATGATATATATGAGTATTCGTTGATGTGTGTGTGTGTGTGTGTGTGTGTGTGTGTGTGTGTGTGTGTTGTATGCTTGTACATTTAAGTACTATTTGTGTGTTAGGTGTATATTTATATGTGTTTTAGGTATTATTGAGTTTCAAATGTGTATATATGCATTAATGTATGCCTGCGTCTGTGTATATGTATGCATGCATTTATGCGTTTGTGTGTGTGTTGGTTGTGTATGTGTGTTGTATTTGTAGTTGTGTGTGTG